GTAATTGGTAAGATTAAATACATTATTGATGGTATTTTTGTTTAGATTTTATGTGTGTACATGTTTTGTTGGAGGCCCTAAAGTCATGGATCTACAAGCAGTTTGATGGATAAATAGTTTACAAAAATGGATTTAAAAAGCCAGGGATTCGCGAGTAATTGTACGGTTAACATGTGTGCCTAAGCTGTAAAAAAAAATGCACACTGTGCCGTTCACACATTGGAAGTTTTGAAAGTAAACTTGGTATCACTTTAAACATTACAATTTATGCAAGACCAGCAACAGATGTCAGGATATTCATCACAGATAAAGGAATACAGTCATGAGCAAATGCTAGTACCAGCCGCGAATTGAAATGGATTCAGTGATTACTTTGATTCAATAAAAGTTCATTTGGTTGCTAGTAATTTTTGGTTTACTCTGCTTGCAAGGTTCCATTTTCGATATGTAGATCCTGTGAAGCTATTCCCTCACGAACGATATAATAATGCAAAATAATTTTTTTTAAAATCTAGTGACACACGGTATCAAGTAAGGAAACCACTATCTTTTGTACCGATAGCTAATTGGTTGCACAGAGTGTAAATGGTTGGAAATTATCTTTAGTGAGAAGCGTTTAATCTAGAAACGTCATTTCACAAAAGACTTGGGAGGAGGTCAAAGAAGGCTGACTTCATGCGTGTTCCCCAATATAGCTGGTAGCCGTACGTTATGGCGTAATTTGCGCTCTATTGTATTTATGTGAAATGGAGGAGCTTATGAAGAGACTAGGTTTAATTGAAGTTTCTGTATATAACATTCATAGCTTACTGTTTCAGTGTTTTGGTTAGCTTTAATTCTATTTATCAAAAGACAAAAACCGCAGAGATCTTGATCTTATCATCTGAGGTATGAAATGAATCATCCGTTCTTCGTTATCTCATCTTGCGTCATGCTTTGTTTATCATAGTGCAAATATCGACTCGAATTCTGACTCAATCAGGCCACTTAACTATTAATTATCAAGCAGGTTCCTCAAACCATCACAAGTGTGAAAGAATTTAGAGTAAAACTGTACCCATTAAATTTGGTAACAAAAAAATCCAGCCTACCACCGGACCCTTTAAACACCAGAAAACTTTGAGTAGGAGTAAACAAATTATATGTCTTGAGGATATACGAAGCGTTTATTTTATATGAAACATTTATCATTTACACGACCTCATGTTGGTGGAGACCCCTAGCTTAGCCAGTAATCTTTTTTTCCTGTTAGTGACCAACAGGGGTGGTACCAACCACTTATCGTTGAGGGGGCTGAATTGGTCTAGACAAAAAAATT